CATGCAAAACCTGCAGGCTTGGCTGTGCTATATTTCTCATTCAATGTCTTACACCCAATTCAGTGCCTGACTGACACATTGTTTGTGCTTTGGGATGCTAGCTGAATTTAGTGGCTCACCCCATATGAATTCTGAGCTCTTCAGCCTTTATATTCTGGCCCAGTATTCTCATTTTTTCTCAGAACCTTGGCATCTCAGACTATACTTCCTGTATCCAGTCAATTGGCATCAGTTTTCCTTTTAAAGCTTGTAAAGATGAAGCAGGCTTGTGCGAAGAGCCCAGGCTTGAGAACCTGTCTAAATGAGGGAGATAACAGGAGTGGGGCTGAGACAGTCCATGGATGCTTCCGTGTCTTCTGAACATTATAGGCAGGATGCAGAAGATGATTCTGACTTAAGGAGGCTTAAGTTGTGCTTGACACCCTCCTGAACTCACAGTGGACCCATCTTCTAATGATGTCCACTGCAGATGGTTTTGTAGGTACTCTCTTTTTCAATCATTTGATTTCAAATAAACTACTAGTCTTTTAATGACATGTTGTTTCCTTTTTCTTTTCTGCATTTCATCCTGCCCTGGAATATGTAAACATGAGATATGATCTCCTGGGCTTGTTAGGCAGATCCTGCTGCAGCTCCAGAAGCTCTGACATAGTAATAAAGTAAGACAGATTTATAGTCCTGTTGATCTGTGTTACTTCTAGTTTCCAAACTGGCCATTCCAAATCTTCACGCTTCTCTTTGAAAGCCCCTACACTTCACTACTTTCCTTGCTGCTTTTCCTGATTCTTCCCACCCTCACAACTTTTAGCAGATGTATAAAAGCAGATGTTTTTTTGTACATCACAAAGAAACCAGAAACTATAAGATATAACTCCCAACATTTCTATCCCTATTCCAAATAAAAGTGTATTTATTGCCATTAGTCCTATTCTGGTGATAAATACCCTTTCCACCCAAATTGAGGGGGATCCTTCCCTCTGGATCCTGGATCCATCTCCCCTTCTTCCTGAAGATAAACATTCATCATTAATCTTGAACCCTASGGTCTCATATCCAACTGCTTACTTAATATCCAGACTTTGATGGTAAGCATATATTCCCAATGTAACACACTCAAAACCAAACTTTTTCCATTTGCTCAAGTCTAAAAACCTTAGTCATCTTTGATGTCTCCTTTTCTCTCATATTTCTCATTAGATCTTTCAGCCAATCTCAGTGGAATTTCTTTTAGCTTATATTCAGAACTGCTATTTCCACCCTGGTCCACACCCTCTGATTCATTTCTCTCCTGGATTATTGCACCAGCCTTCCAAAAAAAATCATTCGGCTTCCATCCCCGCCCTCCCATAGTGTATTCTCGATGGCTGTAGAGATGGTCTTGTTAAAACATAAGATTATGACCTTTTGCTTAAAATCCTCCAAATGCATCTCATCTCCTAGCAAAGTTGCCTTTCAGTGGCTGACAAGGTCCTGCATGATCTGGCACCCACTGCCTCCTGGGCCTCACTCACTGCTCTAGCACCCTGGCCTGCCAGCTTGTCCTTCAACCATGCCAGGGAGAGCTCTGCTTCAGGCTTAGAATGTTATCGGGGGTCTTTCTAGAGTCACCCTCAATGTTCAGACTGATAAGATCATTATAAACCTTATGTGACACCAGAATCACTCAGAAGATACAGGATTGGAGGCACAGCTTGTCAGCAAGGCAGGACCGATCTTCCTTCTTTGGGAAAATCTTCACAGTTGTCCATGCTGTGGTCCACACTGCTGCCTAGAGCTAGTGTCCCTCCCAGTATCTCCTCCCCCCATATCTCAGGTATAAGGAAAAGACCCATCCTAGGCAGATCCAGGACCTACCCTGACTTAAAAACTTTGAGCCCTAAAGAAGCAAACATCTCTTGCAGCTTGACCCATAAATCTTTGATGTACCGAGCCATACAGTTACAAGTATTACTACAATCACAGAAATCCAATGAAATGGCTTCCTACCAGGCTTTTATCTCTTTCCCAGCCCAGATATAGCTGACCAATCAGTGGTCATTTATGCCAGGAGCAATATGGCCCACTAACACAGTTAACTTTCCACCTTTACCAGGTCTCTGGGAAACAGTGAGAAAGCTGAGAAAGTTAAGAAAGTCAAATTCTGCAGAAGGTGAAGGGTCCTATTAACCCTTTGTTATGTGCCCCTTATTCTTGCTGTTCTCTCTGCTTGGAAGGCTCCCTCCAGGACATCTACATGGCCTGCTCCTGCACCTCCTTTTCTTTCTTAGCCAAAATTCACAACTCCTAATTCTCCTTCTGGGACATTCTACCATGAATGCTTTTCTTATTTTTCCCATTGCTCTGTTCACCTTCTAACATATTATAGTAGTCCTCTTTGTGAATTTTTTGAGGTTTTGGGTTCTTGTGGTCTGAAAAAATTAAATGGAAAATTTCAGAACCAAGCACTTCCTAAGTTATAAAGTACATGTACTTCTGAGCAGAATGATGTTAGTCACTTAGTAACTTCCTTGGTTATCAGATTGACTGCTGTGTCTTAGTGCTTGTGTTCAAGGTACTCTGTTTTTTTTTTTTAATGATTCTCTTTTTAAAAATATCTATTATTATTATTATTATTTAGTTGTAGATAGACATAGTATCTTTATTTATTTTTATGTGGTGCTGAGGATCGAACTTAGTGCCTCACATGTGGAAGGCAAGCATTCTACCACTGAGCCCCAGCCCCAGCCCCCTGGTTTTAATAATGACCATAAAGCACAGGAGTAGTGATGCTGGCAAAGTAGTCCTGCCAATGAGGAGTTGTAAAGTGCTTTCTTTAAGTGAAAAGGTGAAAATTCTTGATAAGAAAAGAAAAAGAAATAATATGCAGACGTTGCTAAGATTTACAATACAAATGAATATAGAAAAACACAGGTTTTGGTAGTATCCGCACTTTCTGGCACCCACTGAGGGATCTCCAGRGAACGACATATTTAATTTACTAACCAATCTTGCTTAATTTACATGTTAATTTTCCCACAGAATTTAAGTTCTATAAGGGAGATTTTTACCTTTTATTTTTTAATCCTTCAGTGATAATGRCAGAACTATGTCAGGCWCACAGTAGGTTTTTTTWAACAATATTTTGTTAAAATTATGACATTCTTAATATTTTGTTAAAATTAATTTCTGCTCTTTCTCTCTTTTAGCCTCTAGCTTCTCATCCTTTCTTGGGCAGGTGGGAAGCGGGCAAAATGGTTTTGGTGACCAAATAAAAGGCAGTGTGTTGTCAGGGTTAAGAAAAAGGACTTTAGATCCAAACTGCATGATGTGAATAAGGGCTTTGCCACTCATCTTAGGAGGTTTCCCTAACCTCTGTGCTGYAGGTATCCCATTCATAAATAGGGATATAATAACAGCATCTATATTCTAGAATTTCCATGAGGAAGAACTGAGTTAAAATGTGTGTAAAGTGTCCAGAAGAGTGCCTGACACACAGGAGCACTGTATGACAACTATTAATAAAATCAACTTTAACAAGACCTTTATTTCCACGCTGCACTACTTCTAGCTATTTCTCTCACTGCCTACCTCCTCTTGAGCTGATCTTCCAGCTCTTCTTCCAGCCCAGCTGCCCATGGCCTTTAACTTCCACCTATCTTTTCAACCACCAAAACCAAGATTTCTAAGGGCCCAGGTGTTGCTTTTCTTTCCTTGGTCTGAGTGGGCTGAGAACTGCCTGTTGTCRCAGATCACACTTTTCTTTGGCTTCTGCCACTCCTCCTGCCTGGTTTCCATCTGTCCTTACCACTGTTTCTCAGTCTCCCTCAGAAGCCTCCCTTCCTCTGCCATGCACTCTTCAGTGTTGTTCCTGACAGTCTCGCTCACCACCTTCTCCTGGGTGATCCCATTCAAAGACATGGTGCCGACTCCCATACAAATGACACCCAATCTGTGCCAGTCCTACTGAATTTCCCAAAGATGTTGTGTTCTTTGTCACATTCATGACTTAGAGATTTCTCTGCTCTTTCTGGCACCTTCTCCTATGCCCAGCTCCCACCGCCTGACTASTTCTACCTGGTTTTCCAAGTTTTCTTTTTTTTTTGGAACCGGGGATTGAACTCAGGGGCACTCGACCACTGAGCCACATCCCCATCCCTATTTTCTATTTTATTTATAGACAGGGCTCACTTAGTGCTTTGCTTATTGCTGAGGCTTGGCTTTGAACTCATGATCCTCCTGCCTCAGACTCCCAAGCCGCTGGGATTATAGGTCTGTGCCACCATGCCCAGCCTGGTTTTCCAAGTTTTAATGCAACTATTACCTTTTCTCTTTTCCTATAAGCTAAGCCCTCTGTACTCCCTTCCTGCTATGGAGACATCTGTATCATAGTGCAATACAGCGTCTGTCTCCTGATTGCTAATGTTCTCCCCCAGAAACGAACTASTCACAGGTATCCATCTGCTCAAAGTATGGTGCAAAATATATCTAGATTCAATATATGAATAGTAGCATCTATGTAGAATACATTTTGATTGTGTTACAGTTTAATTCAGAACTGAACGTTGGACAAAATAATGATATCTCACCAAAAGAGTAGTTCTTTCAGAAAATCTTACAAGCTTTTATAAGCAAAAAACCCTAAAAAGTTCTGTTTGGGCAATGTAAATGTCACTATGAAAATATATAATATATTCTATAGTAAAGTCAATTTTGAAAGGTAGGCTCCCTCTTTGATGTTGGTGACATTGACTTGACAATAGTCGACTGCAGTTGGGATCATCGAAATCTCACAAGTACCATATTTACCTTATTAGAAAAAGTTTAGTAAATACGTGTCTCAGGCTCCCTGCCATGATTACAAATGCCATATACAAACAGAGAAGAGCAACTAATATTTACATGGTTAAAAATGACACAGCCAGCTCTTTTTAAGGAGCTTCGATGACTTGACATTTAAGAAGCTTCAATGACTTGACATTTTTTTTACCCTGGCCCCATTTCGCCATAGTTCTTGCACCTACCTGTAAAGTACATCCAAAGACACCGATCATCAGCATGGCCACGGACAGGTAGTCGGTAAACACGTCCCACCATGGCTTAAGCACCCGGAAGGCAGGCTGCTGCTCAGAGAACTGCCGGAATTCTGTCACTGGAATCATGTTTCTGAGAAAGGAGAGACTGCTGGTGAATTAACTTATCTTCAAGCACAACATAATACTAGTGACCCTTTTACCAGCTTTTGAAATGCCGTTTCAGCCCATCAGAAGCCCAGGTCTGCAGGAGCCCAGGAGATGTCCGGGAACCAGGGTCTCAATGAGCCACTAAGTAAAACCACCAATTGAGGAAATGAGGAGACTCCCATGGACAAGGCAAGGACCTTTCCTGAACCACTGTCTAGTAGTCAGGCTCACTCGTGCTTCAGTGGGCAGAGGGACCATGGCCAAATCCCAGTTATTTCTTGGACCTCTGCTTGCCTCAAACAGAACACAAAGATGCCAGCAAGAACAGAGCCCACCCTATAAAATGCTTTAATTTAGCTCTTTATCTTGCCTTCCTGGGTTACTGCTTTAAACTATTTTTAAAGTATCATTTTGGCATTCATTTGTGTTATTTCTTTACTGAGCCCTACTTGTAACACACTTTATTTCCTCTACAAGGAAGGAAAACCATTTTGCCATGTGGTTATTGTCTTTTAAGAGAGATCTTATTGGTGGTATTGGTGGATTGGAAAGTACCACAATTTCACTTCCTGCCCCCATTTTCTCTGTGATTTTTTTTTTTTTTAAAGTACTAGGGATTGAACCCAGGGACACTTTACTACTAAGCCACATCCCCAGACCTTTTTATTTTTTATTTTGAGACAGAGTCCCACTAAATTGCTTAGGGCCTTGCTAAATTGCTGAGGCTGGCTTTGAACTTGTGATCCTCAGCCTCCCAAACCACTGGGATTACTGGCAGATGCCACCATGCCTGGTTGTGCTTTTCTTTTGTCTTGAGTTCTGTTCTCTATTTCTTACGCTTTTCATATGCCATGGATACCCTCTCACTTATGCTGATTTTTTTTCCTCTGAGAAATCAGTTTGCCCTGGAAACTTACTATAGTTTGGGTATGTGTCCCCCCCAAATTTCATATATTCAAGGCTTAGTCACTAGCCTGTGGTGCTCTTGGGAGTTGGTGGAACCATTAAGGTTGGGGTCTAGTGGAAGGTTTTATGCCACAGGGGGCATGCCCTTAAAGAAGATGTTGGGATGCCAGCCCTTTCCCCTCTTCTCTTTGCTTCCTGCCTTCCATGGGAAGAACAGCTTGCTCCACCATGCTTCCCACCATCGTGTACTATCTTGCCATAGGCTCCAAAGCAACAGGTCAACCAACCATGCACTGAAACCTCCAAAAGTGTGAATAAATCTTTGAGAATAAACCTTTCCTGTTTTAAAGTTGATCTGTCTCAGGTATTTGTTACACGGACAGGAAGCTGACTAACATAAAATTCCTATTTGTGTCTAAATGACAGAAGCTAAGTGAATGGGGTACACATGAGGTTCTGCACAAAGGGAAAGAGGCATATCCCTTTCTTGATCTGCATTCTCCTTTGTCACTCTCATCATCATTGCCTTTACTGTGATCCAAGACTTGGGGTTAATCATCTTGCTACTGTGGGAAGAAGTATTCTTTCCATATTTTATGGCAAGGAATCAGGGAGGCCAATGAAGGCCAAAATGAAAAACTCTCTCTTCAACCTTCTTTAGATCTAATAATCTAGCTCTCAAYACCCGTCCTTCCTGCTTAGTCCTAACTAATAAGGCAGAGGAAAGATCACATTTGCTACTCTGTCTCCTAAATCTTGTTTGGTTCATGGATTTCCCCTCCCTAACACTGAATGAAGGACTATACAATAAACACCCTGGATAAAAGCCAAGCTTTTCCTTTGAATTTATTGGTGTTTATAGCTTTAGAAAATATTGTTATTCATTCTGTCCTCTGCYTTATGACTTTTCTTAAACAATAATTTGCTTTCCTTTTGCATCTGTACTTTTACAATGTTAAAAATTTCAGCTGCCTCGTGATGCTTTCTACTATGACCTATCTACTCGACATCTCTGCAGCACTTGAAAGATTTCTTCATGGGCTGCAAACTTTTTGAGAATAGAACTGATACAGAGTGTGTGTGTGTGTGTGTGTGTGTGTGTGTGTGTGTGTGTTCGTTCTTTCTTAAAACAGACACTGCAGGCAAACCACACCTCCTAAATTACTTCATATAGTCATGGTGCCATTAAAATTTCAGACTAGCTCACACTTTGACTTTCCTGTCACCTTATGGTCTCTCTTATCAATAAGTCACAACAATCTCACTGACCCAAATATGTTCCAGTCAGTTGTTTCAGTGATAATCAGATAGGTACTAATTCATCTTAACTTCCAAGTTCTGCTTCAAGAGCTACTGTCTTATTTCACTTTGAATGCTATAATGTCCAAAAACAAGATGCCCCCCAAAACTGTTGAATAAATGATGAATGCATTTACATGGCCATTCATRGAGCAATGCTTATTTAACTCATATTTGGGATGATCCCATTTAGCAGCAGAGAAAGTGACAATTATCAAAGTACCTGTGCCAAAGTCTACTATTCCTTGACAGATTTTGTTGTTGTCTCTTTGATGATAAGTGCCTTKATATCTTGGGAGGAAATTAAGCTTATTCAATGAAGCTGGGACAGTTTCAAGAGGAAAATGAGCAGTGGTTCTCAAACTTTTTGGTCTTAGGACTACTTCATGCTCTAAAACATTAGAGCTCCAAAGTGTTAGTATCAGTTATCATAAATATTGTGATTGTCTGAATCTGGAGTGTCCCTCTAAAGCTCATGGTTAGGCAATGCAGCAATGGTCAGAGGAAAAATGATTGGGTCCTAAAGAGTCTTAGCACATCAATGGATCCAATAATTTGATGGATTAATAATTTGAATTAATTTACTGGGAGGTGGTGAAAACTATAGGCAGGGGGGGCATGAATGAAGGAAGTAGGTCACTGGGGATATGGCCTTGGGGACTGCCCCTTGGTCCCTTTTCCCCCTCTCTCTTTCTGTGCTTCCCCACTGTTATAAGCAGAGGAGCTTTCCTTGCCATACCCTTCTACTATGTTGTTTCTGCCTTAGGATTAGATAACTATGGACTGATGCTTCTGAAACCATGAGCTAAAATAAATCTTTCATCCTCTTAAGATATCCTTGCTAGTATTCTGGTCACAACAGTGAACTGTGACTGACTGACTAACACAAATATTTTTACCAGGTTAGAAATTAAAACCAAGAAATTTWAAAAATATGTTAATTCATTATAAAAAATAAAATCAATCCAGGTTAATGTGTATTATCATTAAAAGGACTATATTTTCCAAAACACAGAAATTAGAATAATGGCATTATTTTGCCTTTTTGTAAATCTCTTTACTATCACCTTACTATAGAAGACAACTGAATTCCCAGATCTGTTTCTGCATTTAATCTATTGTGATACAGTGTTTGGGTTCAAATGAACAAGTAAAACACAGTCTCACAAATATATGTGGTTAGAAATGTGAGAAGTATCTCAATAGCTTTTTCAAGTTATTATGGATATTCATATTTGAGACTATACTAAACCTTGACTTGCAACATGGAATCTGGAAACCATATCAATTAACTTTTTAAATCCCATAATAAAACCCCTTAGTCTGTCTTACACTTCGGATAAATCTTTTTACCCAAGCATGATTCTGTAATAGCATGCATTAGTAATTTGGAAACTAATGGATCACTGAGTTATGTAATCTTCCAAATGTTGACACATTTCATTGTATAATATTAAAAAATCAGTACAATATTAAAAAATCATAGTAATTAATATCAACCACTGCTATCATCAGAAGAATTTTTTAAGTACTGGGAAACTGTCAAGCTCGTGGTGGTGGATACAAGTTCTCCAAAATTCTAATTATTATTTAAGAATACGAATTTCATTACTGTCAACAAATATTTGCTGCTCTCCTTTAAGTTGCACGTTCACTTCATTCATTTTGTGAATATAACATGYCACATACTCAAAAATAACCAGTTGTTTTATTCAAGTAAAAGCAGTGTGATAAAGTAGCTAATTCAACCTTCAACTCAAATATCACATAGGGCTTTCTTTCCCTTGAGACGCCCCTCTCCCGTGGGAGGAAGCTGTAGTGCTCTGTGTGTTTTTCCCATTACATGACCTAGTGTACTAATGTAATTTAGAGTCAAGAGTTGACAGTTACTAAAGTAATAATTTTTACTGCTTCAAGAGGGACATTAAGAGAAACTGGCTTAAAAAAAATAAATTACAAGTGTGTACCCATGAAGAATACAGCCCCTATAGTATAATATGGTGCCTCTCTCTTGATTCATGCAAAGGTACCTTGTCCACCATTGATTTTGCACCATTGATAAAAAAGGCAAAAAACATTTTAGCATTATATTTTGATCTGTGAGATCCCTTAAAAAGGTCTGGGCTAGCATGGTWCTATGGACCACACTTTGAGAACCGCAGAGGCGGGAAACCACACTATTCCTTTCTTTAACTCTGGCTTTCCTTGCAAAAGCAAGGACCTGGGCCTCCACAGCAGGAGAGGTTCCCTGAGTCCTTGGCCAAGTTGTCTCACAGGCATCATGCTTTTAGTATGGGAAATAAAGTCATCAAAGCAACTTAAGTATTCCTGCTGCTTCTTAATATCAGCACAACCTAGTTATAATGGATTACATGACTGGTTACAGAAAGAGCTGGTCAAGACGATGCAGCTTTTTAGTGTTACAACGAAACTTTTATTGATTGTACCTAAACTCTTTTGGTTGTGTATATACATGTGCAGATATATATCCACACACATATACATACTACTACATATAAACACATGTATAGATATATAATACACACATGGACTTTGTAGTTTTAATGTATCACAAAGCTCTAAGCTGTTATCCACCATAACATTAATCCATAACATTTTTGATACAAAAGGAAGAGTTCAATAAAAATCCCCCAACTAATGGATGGACTTTTTACTTGCTTAACTGAAAAATTTCTTTGTATTCTTCTTTCACAACTTTTAGTACCTCTGAACAATCATGCTCTGCAGAGACAACTACACTTGAATTCTCTTTCATTG